TGTGCCGCTGGTATGCGGTGTGCCACAGGTGATTCAGACTTAATATCTACACAGGAATGACGAGAACACACATGGGTAAGTTTACCGCGCAAGCGTTAAGAAATAACCGGCATCGGTAGCGTTGACCCGACGAATGCAAATAATAAATGTCAAGGTCCCAGCTGGAATCGAACCCAAGCATTCTGCGTGGCAATGAAGCATTTTACCACAGAGCTACGCCAAGTTCCGGAACTACTTTTCAAACAGACAGTAATCTTCGTGAAACGTCAATAGTGGTTGCAGTGCTGCCTACCGAATTTTATAAACAATACATATATACTCCTTTGACACGGCCGTCACGTCGGGTAAACGTCAATTATGGTTAGTGTCCATGCGCTGAAGTTTATTTATGTAGCAGTGTCCAGGGCCAGCATCCTCGCGAGCATCAGCGCTTCATATCAGCTTTTGGGGTTGCTAATCTGCATTTTCCACTTGGCATCATTGCGCAAGTTCAAACAACTGGTTATATAAACATCTGCAACTCTTACACATATGTCTGTGCATGCAACATTTATACATATACTTATCGTCATTTCATGACGTGTCGCTCAATAAAAAATTGAAACACAGTCACCTTCCCTCCGCATGCCTTGCATAATGTCGATTCCTATAGGTATACGTGGGATCTGCAAACATTTTTGTAATATATTTCAAATAATTGTGATGGATTTCAATTGTGGGGAGTGGGTTTAGGAGGTGTCGGTCTCCTTTCTTTCTTCAAAATGCCGGACCTTGTGAACGCCTCAACGACAATCAACGTTCCTCTGATAAATTCGCTGGAATGACCGAGCGAAGAGCCATTTAATATAGAACTTCAAGCATGTAACTTGCTTCCTCCGCTGTTGAGCATTGTACGTTTAGGCGCCTTGTAGAATATGAGTTAACGTAATAGGAAAGGCAAATTCCATTTGCTTCCAAAGAATGATTAAAAAAAACGAAGATGGTGTCTGCAATGGTTTAATAGTGGTATGCCGCGTTCTCTACAGGCATCGTCAGCACTCGTGAGCGCACACTCAGACACCGCCTGTTTAAGAGACCTTGCGAGTAGCTACATTCACATTCTACGTCTCGAAAGACACTTGCTGTGCCGACGCTTTTCTTGCGAAGAGCGGTTTTTTTAGTCCAAGGTTAACCACGTCTACGATTCCTTCGTTAGAATGTGTTTCCGTGGAGCAGCTCCTCAACAGCATTCAGTGATGTTTACTGCGCTCAAAATTAAATAAAATACTCGAGCGTAACGTTTGGAGACGATTCTTTTATTTCAGGCTTTCAGATTATGCTATGGCTCTCAGATCGTTGCTATGCTGTTGAACTCAAAGACTAAGACTTCTTGCGGTCCCGACAATATCCCCAACATATTTCTGCGTCGCTTTGCAGAGTCTGTTGCAAAATACTTACTCGTCATTTTTCGAGTCTCTCTGTAGTCAGCGGAATTGCCAGATGACTGGAAGTCGGCACGAATAGTTCCTATATTCAAGAAAAGTGACCGCCGTAGTACTAAATAAAAATAAAATTATATATGTACCACAATTTATTAAAACCCAATGAATAAAAGCGCGAAATTTCCAGCCACATCTGTGGAACATAAACTTTGCATTTCTGTTCGACAACGAACAAGACCTGCAAATCTGACTTAGTGCGTCTTAGGATTTACACGAAGAAAAGACCACTTTTACGGTACCTTATGAACAATATTATATTTAGGAATAATTCATAAACTTCTCTTGCAACCTACGTCTCTGAGTATTCGTATACGGGTTTTCCGTCTAGCCTATTTCATTTGTCGTACGTTTTCCTGATCGGTGGTAGTCAGACGTCCACTATACGTTGGAGATGTGTCCCCCTCGAGAGACACACACACACACACACACACACACACACACACACACACACACACACACACACGATATATATATATATATATATATCATCATCATCATCAGCCTGACTACGTCCACTGCAGGACAAAGGCCTCTCCCATGTTCCGCCAGTTAACCCGGTCCTGTGCTTGCTGCTGCCAATTTATACCCGCAAACTTCCTAATCTCATCTGCCCACCTAACCTTCTGTCTCCCCCTAACCCGCTTGCCTTCTCTGGGAATCCAGTTAGTTACCCTTAACGACCAGCGGTTATCCTGTCTACGCGCTACATGCCCAGCCCATGTCCATTTCTTCTTCTTGATTTCAGCTATGATATCCTTAACCCCCGTTTGTTCCGTAATCCACTCTGCTCTCTTCTTGTCTCTTAAGGTTACACCTACCATTTTTCTTTCCATTGCTCGCTGCGTCGTCCTCAATTTAAGCTGAACCCTCTTTGTAAGTCTCCAGGATTCTGCTCCGTAGCTAAGTACCGGCAAGATATAGCTGTTATATACCTTCCTCTTGAGGGATAATGGCAATCTACCTGTCATAATTTGAGAGTGCTTGCCAAATGTGCTCCACCCCATTCTTATTCTTCTAGTTACTTCAATCTCGTGGTTCGGCTCCGTGGTTATTACCTGTCCTAAGTACACATAGTCTTTTACAACTTGAAGTGCACTATTAACTATCTCGAAGCGCTGCTCTTTCCCGAGGTTGTTGCACATTACTTTCGTTTTCTGCAGATTCATTTTAAGACCCACCTTTCTGCTTTCCTTGTCTAACTCCGTAATCATGAGTTGCAATTCGTCCCCTGAGTTACTCAGCAATGCAATGTCATCGACGAAGCGCAGGTTACTAAGGTACTCTCCATTAACTCTTATCCCTAACTGTTCCCATTCTAGGCTTCTGAAAACCTCCTGTAAGCACGCGGTAAATAACATTGGGGAGATTGTGTCCCCCTGCCTTACACCCTTCTTGATTGGTATTCTCTTGCTTTCTTTATGAAGCACAATGGTAGCAGTTGATCCCCTGTAGATTTCTTCCGGGATGTTTATATATGCGTCATCGACGCCCTGATTCCGCAGTGTCTGCATGATGAATGATATTTCTACTGAATCAAATGCCTTCTCGTAATCTATGAAGGCTATGTATAGTGGTTGGTTATATTCTGAGCATTTCTCTATTACCTGATTGATAGTATGAATGCGGTCGATTGTTGAGTAGCCTGTTCGAAATATATATATATATATATATATATATATATATATATATATATATATATATATATATATATATATATATATATATATATATATATATATATATATATATATATATATATATAAACGTGGGAGATCGCTGCGGTTGTTTCGGCTCCCCTGCATATTGTCACTTGTCACACTCTGCCGTTAGCATGTATCTAGCCACGTATGTCAATGTTCAACAACGCCGATAAAATAAATTTGAACGAGCGTGTCCTCGATGTACGTCGGCACCGACTACGCATGCCGGATGGCAAAGCTTTCGAAGCACATTGCGGAAAACTTACAAAATATAATTGAACACTCTTTTTACACTGACGGTGTTTGTTGTTATTGCTATACGCAACAGATACAGCTATTGTAGCTAGGTGCTAAGCAGTCAACTGCGTAACCAACCTAATGCTAATTGTGCCGATGCATAGTGAATGGAGCCACCAAATTATCGGGCTCGCATACAGAGAAAAACTCGTCAGAGAGACTATATTGAACGCAACCTGTACAGCCATCAACTTTCTCTTTCGCCCGAAATACTGCTATTTCAGTCAACGTCAAACACTGGTGACTAAACTTAATATTTTGTATACGTTTGAGAAAAGAAATACTTACTTTTATCTGTTTCATGCCAACCTTGAAGCACGCAATGACAGTGCCTATACAGAGCATTGTCAGCGAACTGCACACTGCACGTTCGGCTCAAAAGAAAGGAATGATACTCGTGAAACAGCCGCATGTCTTTCAAGAGTCCAACTTGGTTTAGCAGCGTAATATTTTTTTTATTATTGCGATAGCAATTATGTGGACAGTCTCGGCTGGTTTTAGCCGCCGCCGTCATTCACGCATATGATGTATGTATATATATATACGGGGAAAGATGCGCTAGCCTCCTTTTTTCTGCGGAGCGAACATCACCTTGCCGGCCGGGCTCGTCTGCGCGCTATCTCGCCAACGAATTGGGGGACGGGGGAGGAGGTTATGGTTGCCGCGCTATCGTGGCAACAATCAGCGCGTGCTTTGTGCCCCCACAGCGGGCGGGAGCTTCTACGGGCTGCGCTCTCAACACGAAAAAAAACTGTGCCAAAAGTCTACCTGGAGCGGTCGTGTTCTCTTACACTAGCGTTTTGTAGAGTTGCGTGAGATCGGATCTAAATGAGTAAAGTGCAGGCTTCACGCCATCCCTACGGACGAGCTTTGTGGTGGTCATCTACTTTCAGTGTCCACGCTTCAGGAGACTTGGTTGCTTAGCAAGTGCATGTTTACTACAATTAATATTGCTCCTAAAATGCCAGCCTTGCTTCGTAAAACATTCGAATATGTTGCTATCACATTCATTGCTTCGCCCTTTTGGCGAAACTGCGACCTTTTAATTGGCTTGCGTCGTACATATGTAAGGGAATTAAACGTCGAACATGACAGGTAACTAACTTTTGCGCCTGGCTTCCCACATTGTCCCCGCCCACTATACCAGCGTCCTTAATTTTAAGTTGTCTTGTACTGTCACCCCCAATGCGATAATCTCGCAATATTTTGCATTTTCTTTTGAATCCGTCCTTTTTCGTGGTTACACGGTGCACGTACCCTCCTCCTAGCAGTAAAATCGCGACGCGCTGTGGTAAGGTCACCGGTGGTCTTTTGATCACGGAGGTTTTCGTTCTGCAGTGCCCTGTTTGTCCCGGATCAGCCTGCAAACCTCGGCGCCTCTAACAAAACAGCAGAGGGTAGCAGAGAAAAATGAAAAAAAAGGGCGGATTGATAGCATATTCGTATGCTGGACTACAGATACACACACGTACGATTGCTCGCGTATATGTAGTTGCGCATGAATGACACAGACGCCAACAAGGACGACGTCAGTAGCCAGCTGAACACTACTTTATTTGTACCTTTAAACTATTTGAGGTCCATTTGAGCATCGATGATGAGTCCGCCGTCAGAGCATCAGGATCTGCCACACAGACCACTCACTTAAACCTTTTGTGACCCTGCCAAGCACAACTGCAGGCCTCTACTAACTGGAACGGACTCTGACGAACGAATGGGGCTCAACGAACAGCGATGGGAGGGCGCGTGACAAGTGAATGCGGAAGACGACAAACACAGTCGCATAACCTGTTTCCTTCTCTGATTCCTCGCATGAGTGCATATCTAACTATCCCGCGCATATACACCTGCGCCTAGAGGAACTTCTCGGGGAAGTGCGGGTCGTTGATGGTGACGCTGGCGTTGCCGTCCACCTGCTGCTCCTCGTGCTGCATGCTCAGCTTGCGGCTCATGGCGCTGGTCAGCTTTGGAATGCACGAGCGCGGAATCAGGAACGTGGACATGTTGAACAGGTCCAGGAACACCTTGTAGCGGTCGCTGCATCGTCAGAAATACGGTGTTACAGGGCGGTGGCCAGTAATGCATCTTCAGGGAAAGGCGAACATGTTCCTGAAATTATTCTGGGTGGACGCCGGATGAGATAAGCGCATGTGATGAACAGCTATGTCTTGCTATATACGGAACGATGTGCAAGTGCACACACTGTGTACAGAGCTAGAAATGTGTGCGCTCGGACACATTGTTGTAATGATAACGTCTGCGAGCGCACTGTACAATACCGCGTTAATTGTTTAAACTTGTTTCAGTGTGTTGTGTTTTTTTTCTTTAGACGTTCTTGTTTTTAATGGAGAACCACTTTTTTATATAGCTACAGAATGTATAGAAGTTGAGTAGCCTACTCGCTAGTCATATTTGTATAAATTTAAGTTTATATTATCTCATCTAAGTCAAGGTAATATAACGCTCAACTTTTTTACAGCAAGCCAGCTAAAACAGAACAAAACAGATAGGTGAACCCATAAAAGAGAAGAATTTAACCCACCCATCATACATATAGAGAAGAAACTCGCGAAGGTCGCAGTAAAACGGGGCAAAAATGATGAGACGAGCTCGTCGAGATCTAATTGTTCATTGAAGAGCGAGGAAAGGAGATGAAGTGTGTTACACAAAAACGACAAAGTAATTGTTATATTTAAGTATTATAACGCAGTTGCTACCTTGTACAATACAAATCCGTTTCTCAAAACGTTGTCTCTATAACGACACGAGGTGTACTAAGAATTTTTAATTGCTTAAATATTTTATATTTCATTTAACCATTGACCTGCTCTTTGTAAATAACAGATTTTTTAATGCAGATCTTTCGAAACCTGAAACGCAACGACATTTTTCTCTGTAAAGAATCACATTACGGAATATCTCTCTCTCTCTCAGATACAAGGTCCAACAGTGCAACTGCTCGCGTGGCATACTTTTTTTTTCGGATAAAATTTTAGAGCATAATAGGAATGCAATCCATACTTGTAGAAAGCACGATACCTGAGCGTAGATCGGAGATACTGGTAGCCGGAGGAGCCACCCGTCCCGAATTGTTGCGATCCGATCATTCGCTGAACCATCTGCACGTGGTTGTCTGGTGATGGGAAAGACCAGGAAAGAGGGTTGATTACTGTTCCATCATCGCGACGCTGTGACACGCCTGCTGGAGAACTTTCCCCAATGGTTACGCCAAGATAAGTAGACTACATTAAGATGCATGTAAGTACACCTGGCAACATGAAATCATGCAAAGCACAACACATGGCACTTTTCGCAACCAAATTGGATCTTACTGCGCCTTTATCTACGTGCAAGATCCACCAAAAAGACGCATCAAAAAAGTGAAAAGTGCACCAGACACATACATTAGCTAGCAAGTTTATGATACACAATCCTGAGGACATTCTCTGTGTCCTCAACCTCTATACAATAAGCAGATAAGCACTGTTTTTGTCTGAGTAAAGGAATGGTAAGAGTTCTAATCAGTCAAAGTTTTCCAGAAGAGCGTCCTTTTAACAACAAAGTTGAAACTCAATTTAACGAAGTGATCCCTTCATGAAGATTTTTCCAAATTGTAACCCAGTGACATCCGAATGCCACCACGGCATTGTTTTTGCCGAGCAACCACGCCTCACCGTAAATGTCCGTGAGGGCGGCTCGAGGGTGACCCAGACATAGGGCCAGTCCATGTACGCGTTTTGCAGGCCGTGCAGACGGCCACGTCAGGATACGACTGCAGGCTGCCGATATGCGATGGCGCGGAGAACGCATGCAGCGATTGTGTGAGCAGGTCGAGTGAGAAAGATGTGAAGAGATGATCAATGCTGGCTGTCGCATAAATTATGAAATGATAAAAGCAACCACCGTCTCCTCTGGCCCCATCCGGAACGTAAGGGCACCGCCGACTGCCGAGACCATGGTTCCGGGCTCAGGGCGTGGCTTGCATCTTCGTCAGAATATATATCTCTAACTAGGCTGCCTAACTGTTTCACCGCGTTAGAACACACCTTCGAGCAAAGGCGTGCGCACGGGGGGAGAGGGTCAGGGGCGATGACCCCCCCCCCCTCCTCTAGTCACTCAAGAGAGAGGGGGCGCAATGTCTGCCCATACATTGATTTATTATGAAGAGCGGGGGGGGGGGCAGAGACGAACTTTCACACCCCCGCCCCCTGAAGGGGAACCCTGCGCACGATTAGGCACGCGAGGAAAAACCTGTCACCACCTTTTCACTCCTTTATTTCGGGCAAAGTTTCGTTCAATAGTGTTTGGAGGCTTAATTATTTTGTTAATTCGAGTCGATGTCAACACTCAATCGTGTGGGTATTTGCTGGGGAATTGAAATTTCTCTATTAATTTAACAACATTGTAAAATCGAGTTTTGTTATACAGAGTTGTGACTGTAAAGTAGTAATTGTGGTTTTACCTCCCACTACCACGATATGGTTATGAGAGACGCCGTATATATAGTGGAGGGTTCCGCAATTTCGAACCACCTAGGAAGCTCCTTTACCGTGCACCTGCAATTTCGCCTCCATCAAAATACGCATCTGCCGCGGCCGGCATTTGATCGCGACACCCTCGGGTGAGCAGCCGGGAACAGTTACCACTAGAACACCGCGGTGGGTGAGAAGATTGATTGATTGATATGTGGGGTTTAACGTCCCAAAACCACTATATGATTATGAGAGACGCCGTAGTGGAGGGCTCCGGAAATTTAGACCACCTGGGGTTCTTTAACGTGCACCCAAATCTGAGCACACGGGCCTACAACATTTCCGCCTCCATCGGAAATGCAGCCGCCGCAGCCGGGATTCGATCCTGCGACCTGCGGGTCAGCAGCCGAGTACCTTAGCCACTAGACCACTGCGGCGGGGCGGCGGGTGAGAAGAGATAGATAGATAGATAGATAGAGCAACTTTATTAAGGTCCATTCGTTTTCTTCGCAACCATATTTTTTTGTTGCGTGAAGTATATAGAACGAACATGATTGTAACCTTGAGTATGAAATGTTTCCTGTTGCGTTGCACGAAGTAGAGTGATGGTTCTTTCACGATCATCACCGCAGAATGGGTTCGATGTTTGCCTTCTCGTTGCTCGAAGCGGAGTATAGCTACGGTCATTCTTAATATAACCTTGTTGGTGTATAGCCAGATACATGCCCATATAAGATTCTGTGTATTGTGATGTTTTTTCCGCTTGTTAACGCTCGGTACATGCACCGCGAACCGATACACATTTGAAAGCGGCCTTGGCTGTTTGATTGTATAGGTCGTTGTAGTTTTCAAAAAGCCGCTTCCTGAGCTATAGGCGTAATTCAGATCGACGGATATATCAATTGCATCAGTTTTTTGGAATTCACAATATAGGTTCACAATCAGCATAATTGCAATTACTGTATTGTTGACGAGCCATAACTGCTAACTGCAAGCTTAAATTTTTTTTAAATATATACTTTTGAGCATATTCGACATCGAACGTCGAAACACACATAGCCGATCCTGAGTCCTGACTACAGGCCTTCGGGTAGGTTCAATGGTGGCCAAATGGGAGCATTGAAACGCATATTTCATATATCAATTTTCAGAGGTATACTGCACGTAAGGTTCTCATTTGATTTGTAATGACTTCGCATGATCAACATGTCTGCGCCCTCTAGCGGAAGAGCATACTACTACCAAGCTGGGTTGTAGTTGGTTGACGTTCATTACGTAATGGCTTAACTGCGCGAAGACAGGGACAACGGAGGAAGGAAAGGACAACGCATATTTTTCTGCATGTTACACAGCAAATGTCGTCGAAAGACGATAGTCTTGCGTCCTGGAGAGAGTGAACAAAATGTTTATTTGATGTTCTGCTGCAAGAAAATCGGGTGAATAGTATTCTGGAGGCGCTGCTGCGTTAAGTGCCTCGAGCGTGTAGCGCAGGCGAACGAGCGCATCGAGGAACGTTAGACACGAGTGCCATCTGACAGTTATCTTCGAAAACGAAGGCGTGTGCGCCCGCGGAGAAAGATGTGCGCCTGTCTCGGAGGTGATAAGGTGTAGAACGCAAAGCGACGGGACAGGTGCCACCACCAGTGTCATCTTAGCAAAGCGTTGGAAACACTTATCTTTTTGAGCATCGCGTTGCACTGTCAGCGCAGCGCGATAAACGTTACAGTCCCTTATAGTTACTTGTGTGTGACTCTTATAGTATAAAAGCACACATACAAAACATCAACGTGTTGTTAACCCCTGAGTCACCCCGGAGAACGCTCTTCACCGTTCAAACGGCAAGCTATTTATATCTACCACTTGCCGCTGCTGTGTTTTCGGCCTTACCAGAAAGATGGCGCTATGAGTGCATGTCGCCACATCACGCAGCGGCGCCCGCTCTAATCTCCTACGCGTAGTTTGCCCGGCTTAGAGAAGGGGAGCTACGCTCCCTCACGCGATCTTATCTCGCAGTGGCGAGGAGCGCAGGATCGTACGCCTTGGCTGGCCTCTGGCTTTACGTGGAACGATTCTGCTGTAGTTACCGGGCGCACAAAGGTCACTGCAATCATTGCAGTCTCCGTTCGCGAAAAGCGCGCGCTTTTCAGACTCAGCGGAGTAACAAATGAGACGCTTATTCGCGTGCATCGTACTTGCTGAGTACGTGTCGTGCGTGATTTGTGCGCGAGAAACGCGAGGCACATTTAGATCTGCTTTCCATTCTGCGCGTGACCTTTCAAATTGTTGCTATTGCACTCATTGGTTCGCCTTTGCGGCAAAGCTGTGACGTTATTTTTTTTCTTTTAAGAAGTTCAGCTTATCTCCACATGCTTACAAAACGCTGCTGTTGCATCCACAGGTTCTCGAGGAATGCTCGTCGTATTGATTTGTGTTGACTTGCGTCTCAGCTACGGTAAAAGGCCGGCGCATCTAGCGTCGAGCTGCTTCCTCGTCCACGTTTTGTACCTACATTGTAAATTTAACGTTTGTTTTCCTTCTGGCTGCTTTTTGCCTTGACACTGCCTGGATGCTCCCCGCTGTTGCGCCTTTGGGTAGCGTGGTGCGGACTCGGGCCATCCGAGTCCCCGGAGAGGACGAGTAGAGAAGCCGGAGAAGGAGAAAAAAATGTTTATATACAGTATTTACATGGTAGCGTGGTACAACATGAAAAGAGAATCACACACGAGCGCCTCTGCGCTAGCGTTTTTTATACATCGTCCGCCTTCCCAAGATCCCTTGCAAAGAAAATTTATGCGCAGGATACTCCAATGAGATCGTCGTCCTCCTCTCCGTCCCCGAAGAGGGAAAGCCAACACCGCCTCCCTCTGAACCTAGGAAAGGGGCAAGACATGCCCAGTTCGCTGTTTGGTGAGGGAGACCCCACGCGCCAGCGTGGCACCACAGTGAGATGACGTGGAATCCCATGCGCAAAGTCGCTCCCTGATGCAGCCAGGTTGACTCAAGCAAGGCAGAATACCCCGTACAGCTGCTGGGTCGACGCTGCTTCGGAGTGTTGCTCTCGGCGGCTGACAAAAGCTTGGCCAACGACTTTTGTGTCAAGAGGAGCCGGCGACGTGGTTTTTCCAGATTGTCCGCGTCCGTCGCCGTCCCGGTGCAGGGTTGACTCATCAACAGCTGCCAGGTGCCAGCAGGCCGCGAAGACCACGTGGAACTTGGGCGAGGCACAACAGCACCCCCGCCGCCAGATGATACATCGGGAGGTCGAGTTGTTCCATGCAGCTCGGCCGGGTCGATGTCGGCGACGTTCCGGCAAGGCTCTTGCTTTCTCGAAGGGCCTGGTCAAACTGGAATGCTCCAAGAGCTGGCCTCTGCGCCCCGCTTCGGTGAAAAGTGGGTGACAAGCTCCAAGAAACGACCTTTGTCAGCCACACACAATGCGACAAGCACCGCGTGCACGCCACTCTCATCGCCAGGCCTCCGATTTTACAAAGCAAACATCTTATCTTAATAACTTAAGCTCAAGGAAACAATGTGCATACCAATCGGGACAAGTGTCCAGTAACTCTTTCATACGTAACTCCATTTGGAATCGAGATAACATTATAATCAAGCTAAACAAGCAAACTGTAGAGCTCGGGACAACGAGGGAGTCAGTGAAAAA